CACAAAAACATTATACCCTGATTTCCCATTTTCAATGGGTTCAGGGTATAAAAAGAGATGATGTGAGATGATAGATCAATCTAACAAGTACTACTTTTCATTCACGGATAAAAAAGAATATATATTATCCATATGATAGGCATACAATACACTCAAATCAATTCATCTATCTGAACTCTTCTTTTTCTCTATAAATACTCCCATAACTTATACAAAACTTAACCAAACCGCATACGCTCCCATTTAAATTAGCTGAGCGAGTATTCAAACACGTTGATGATTTAGGGTTGTCGAAATTAACAAAACAAATCCCGGCAACATGTTGCACTCGTGCCAGGCTCAATGCCAACAACCAAAACAACAATAAGTCTTAAGCCTGATGGGGGCGGGCGTTCGCTTCATATAAAAAACTGAATCAGAGGGTGGCCACCGGAGTGGATCAGCGAAATGTTTGCACCCGCTATAATCCCTGGACAAGCCACCCCACACACACACACACACACACACACACACACACACACTCAGCGGGTGGGGAGTGCAGTTTATTAAAGTGGAATGAGTCGAAGCTTCGAGTGTGCCAAAATATTTTACAGATAGATTTGTAATTGAGGGTGGAGAAGGGGGGATTCCTTAGAAAATGATTGAAGCCAGCTTATTAATAATTAACATGCAGATTGAATAGCGGGTGGTAAATGTCTAGTTGGTCTTAAAAGGGGGACTGCAATGGCTTGTGCCAATCAGCTGTCAATCTAATTGTAAGTATAATTTCTTATGGATGGTAATTTATAAGAGGGCTTGTACAAGAGGCTGTATAATAGAGCAAATATAATGGAAACAGAAATCCTTCAGAATTTCTAAAGCAGTTTCAGTTCAGAAATTTCTTGTATATATGTAAAAGATATACAGGGGTTGCAATTCTGATAAAAAATATGGATTAAAAAAGCTTAAAAACTGTGGCAATATATTCTTATAAGTCCACTTAAGCTTACAATTTTCATGAATAGCTAAAAAGCTAATAAAAGAACAAATCTGGCTTAAAAACGTTACTTTAATAAGGCATTTGCCTTTTAAAGAAATGAAAACAAAAATATATACCAAAAATTTCCATTAAAAGTACATTTTTCAGGTTGGGGAAATTCTAAGGACATTTTATGGCTGCAAAACAAACTTCGAAGCTTTTTCGCTGAGTGAGCATCAAATAAAAAAAAAAACTTATTCAATTTATTAGGAAGAATCTTACCATTTCAATGGCTCCAATATGTCAATATATCAATTGCTTATTGATGTTTATCTGCGTGCTGTAATTTCTTGGAAAGTTCTTTACACAGCACGGAACAAGAACAACAACAAACGGTCAAAAGGCAAACCGCAAGCAACCGGTAGCACAATATGCACATACGCACACAAGCATGGCAACCATATGTGTCTCCGTGTATGTGTCACATGTAAAGCAATACAAACAACGCCACAAAAGCAATGGAGACGGCAGCGTCGACGTCGACGTCGTTGTCGTTGGCGAAAACGCAGACAAACAACCGGCGTTGCTTTAGCCTCGGGCGCTGTCCCCAAGCGTTGTCATAATGTTTGCGGAGCACAAGCCAAAACGGATAAAAAACTGTTTGTAGAAACCCCCAAAACGAGCGTTACTTAAATTAGAGGTAAAGTTATAATTTCTATGGGAAAGAAAACGAAATAAAAAAGCGTAGCAGACGTCGCGACCGATGCAAACTGGGAGGGCAGACAGCCGGCGGAACACTGAAAAACGTCCAGTGTAAAACAACCCTCGCCGCAGTGCAGCGGCCGTGAGCGTGAGAGAGCAGCCAAAGAGGCGGCGAATTCGCCGCAGGCAGAGAGCCGATTGAGTGTGTGTGTGTGTGCGTGGCTCCACTCACACCATTTGAAGCTGATGTTCTATGACCGGCAGATCAGCATCAGCTGAGACCGGCTCAAGCTGTCTGTCACACTCACTCACACAGATGCACACGCGCACGCACACACACACACCCGTTTTCTCTGTCCATCAATTGCAACGGTTTTTGATGTATTGCTTTGGCAACGAATTGGCTGTTTTTAATTTAATGAACCGCGACGGCAGCAAACATCAAACGGAACTGGAACTAGGAACTGGAGTTGGGTTGAAGTGGCAGTTGGGAGTTTGAGTTCGAATTCGAATTCAAGTGCGAGCAAGAGATGGACAGATAGCAACATAACAACAACAACAACAAAAAAATGGGAATATTTTGCAGATGTGCCCAGCAGAGGGTTGACAGCAGTTTCTAGGGGGTGATCTACATAGAGACGAGCCATCCAAGTTCTTGGCAAACACTAAACGTCACTTGAACAGCAGCAGGCTGACAAGGGATACGAATTTAGCCCTCGTTCGTAAATTCGCGAAAAATTAATTGCATTGCACTCTTTTTTTTTTTAATTTATCAAGGGGTACATGGGTCTTATATACATATATATTTATATAATATATATGCATATATAGTGTGGTGGTAGTTTTCATAGCGCGACTGGTTTGAGTGGGCGTATGATTCATCATCAGTTAAAAAAGCAGACCGTTTCACTTGGGGGTCAACTGAAAGGTAAGGGCATATAGAAATCAACATGCATATAGACGACTATATACGACTAAATAATGCAAAAATAGGGTGGATTTGGCAATGACAAAAGGGTCATTAATGCATGTGTGCAACAGTGTTGCGAAAGGAGCTTACGCTTTTAAGACAGTTAGCAACGCTCTTCGACCTACCCTAAAGGGAATAAACTTGATGGGGGGAACTCTGCGATAAAGGAGGGTTCCGCTATTTTCTTGGCATATATAGAAACTTCTAGTCGAAAACTTTACAGAACTTTGCTGTTTTAATTGGCAAATGCTACTCATGAAGAGGAAATTTCATGAAGATCTTAGCTTATGTGAAGACTTATGTTAGGTAAGGCATATTAATATATTCTTTATATATTCTCTCTCGCTTCATTAACTTTGAAACTGATCAAAACAAAATTCATTTTAAAGACAATATTTATTTTTCCAACTTCTATCTCTCTCTTCCTCCCTATTATAAAATATCATTCATTTGATGAACTTGGGTATTTCTTGCAGCATTTTAGGGATTTCTTCCCCAGCCATAAGGCATTCATTTCAGTACAAATTGAATTACATAGTTCATTTAGTCTTTAACTAATTGCCTTTTAAGTGCATTCTCTTGAGGTCGCTTCATCTTTAATTTTTCCCTCATCTTCAATTTCGGGGCGGGGCATGGAACGCATTCAATCAAAAGGCGTGCACCATGGGGCGTCTGTAACAGGGTCTGTCGACGAGGAGTTTCGAATGGGCTGTGGCCGCTGGCGCCGCTTTTATTTCCGAGTGAGCGAGCCATCAAAACGTTTGTCACAAAACTTATTAGCTATTCCAATGCTGATGAAGATGCCGATGATGAAGTTGTTGCTGATGAAGATGTTGATCATTATGCTGCGGCACGTTGTTATTAATATTAAGCAAGAATGTTGCACAAGTCGCATGGCAACGACTGCTTAATACTCGTTCAAGGTTCAAGTAGGGAGTGTATATAATTGGTTAAGAGATTTATCTGAATATAAAAGTAGAGAGAAGCTCAATAATCGATCCACCAAATGGAACTAATATACATATGTATTCTTTGATGCAGAATTACACTATATAGTATTACTAGATCGATGATTTAAAGTTTTAGTAATCCCCTCTGCTAATCTTGAATAAATATATTTAAGTCTCAAGTTTGGGAGGCAAATAGTGCATTGCTTACGTTTTATATAACTTTAACAATATAATCTCGATAGATCTAACATGAAAACCCATATACTCTTCTAAACTTTCCTGAGCGGGCAACAAGAAAGTGCTCATGTTGCGACTTCTACTCTGCTCTGCCCGCCTTCAAGGCTCTTGTCAGCGACCAAGTAGCACTCGAAGTCGAGTCGACGTCAGACCCGCCCAGAGGTTAGCCAAGTGGCTTGCCCCGCTAGCCAGGCATCCAAGCAACCGCCTTGACTGTGACATTCAGATATTCTTTTCAATTGTGCCGGCCCCCTCCACTCTCCCCCACTCGCCTCCACTCCCTCAACAGTTTCGCAATCTTGGCAAGTTGCATGCAACTCAGCTTATTAGGGCGTAGCTGGAGCATTCGGATTGGGGGACACAGATTGGCGTCTCTGCTGCATTGGAATTAAAAATTGAGCACGTGCTGCTGCGCCAAGACTTGGGGCTATTGTTGACAGCTGACAAAGGGTGTGTAGTGGGGGGTGGGGCTGGGCGCTGGGTGCTGAGTACTGCGGATAGATGGGGTTGTCGGTGCTTGGCAATTGGAGCGCTTAAATCTAATAAATTGTCCGAGCCAACTTCATTAGCAAATGGCCAATGTTTGAGTCGGAGAATGGCGACGTTTGCATTTTCCCCAATTTGTTGATTTATCACTGATGAAAAGCACACACACACACACACAGAAAGCTACAGTAAACACACACACAGAAACAGAAATGCAAATGCGAATCTCTCTCTCGCTTCGACACTCGTTTGTTTACATTTCTTCGTTTTTTTAATTTCTTGGCTAAATATTTGAGCGATTTCCCTGGCATGAAAAAAGGGATTAGATGTCACTGTGCTGGGTGGTTGGGTTTGATTCCGTTTCCTGGGCTCAGCTGAGGCTATGGCATAGCTAAGTCCTACAACAACAGCAACAACAACTGTCAGCATTTTGAGTTGGGTTAAGAGATTTTTTTGTGCATGCTTCGGCTGAATAAAAATTTCTGTTTCAATTGTGAAGCTAAGCCAAAAGCTGAAGTAAAAGTTTCAGCCAACATCGTTGCAGTCACAGTGAACAGAAAAGAGTTCACAATGAAAACAACAATAGCTTCTACGATAACAACAACAACAACAACAACCACAACAAATCAATTTGCAGCCAAGTCAAGTTTCAAGATTAAAGTTCATGGCAAGAGATTTTTCGTCTCAAGCAACGGCCAATTATCTATATCAATTTGTAGGGTTACAGCCAATACAATCATCTACTGTTGTTAGGGATCAAGTTAATCTCTGGTATGAAATTGTCTATGATATAAGAGATATGTTACAAAACTGACAACTTTTTGATTCTTTCTTCGATACGCTTTGGAAATTTATACTTTTTTGTGATTTTGTTCAGCTTTTCCTTCAACCCCAATCGCAGCTTTCTGGACCTTTTCAATTTCTGGACTAAACAATAACGTAAGGGGGCTCTAGTCCGGGAAGTACTATATGAATACTATGGCTGTCGTTAGAATCATCGCAAATATATACAGTATATTATCTCTTAGGTATTTGCAGTGCATCACTATCAAAAATTGTATATAAACTATCTAAGCAAACAATTGGCTTGGACCTATTGCACATTGATTAAGAAACAATAAACAATAAACAATCAATCAATATTAGTCTTGGCTCAAATATGAGTTTGTGGCCGAAGGCTTGCGGTTTCTGAAGCTAATCAAATGAAGCTATGGCAAATGTCATACAATATGCATAGATGGAGATAGAGAGGGAGAGAGAGAAAGAGAGAGGAAGGCGGCAAGAGATGGAGAGACAGGGGAGTATAACTATCTATATAACTATCTCTATATTACTGCATTATAATATGCATATATATAGGAAATACAAAGACAGACAGAGAGAGAGAGAGAGAGAGAGAGAGAGAGAGAGAGAGAGAGATAGACAGTGAGAGATAGAGATAGACAGCAACACAAAGAGCAAGACTGTGTGTGAGAGAGAGAGAGAAGCTAACTATTTATGGTCATGGCTAGCAATAATCAGATGCGAATCAATTACATTTGGCATGGAAGTAATGCGAGTACTTGCACAAAGTGCGCTGACCACCCTCGCACCACACCCGCTGTCCGACCAAGAGCTCTGCACTGCCACGGCCAGGGCCACTGTATGTTGTCCAAATTAGAAGCAGATGATGATGATGATGTTGATAAGAGCAAAGCGAATCATAAGATGGATATTCATTGAATCGTGCCATTTATTGCATGCCACATGGCTCACACTTCCTCCCTCTCTCCACCTCTCTCTCTTGCTCTCTCTCTCTCTGTCAGACTGGCCTCAACATTTTGCAACATTCACACTTTTGGGCTGACTTGTCATTGTTGCCCCCCTCCTCCTCCGCCACTCCCACTCTACCACGCCCGCCACTGATATGCCAATAACAATAAAGCACACACCCAGCGGGCGTGCCGCAGACTCCGTCTAAGTGAAACCGGGTAGCCCGGGTAGCTGGAAGCTGTGAGCATAGTTAATCGTTATTTACAGACAGATAAAGTGCAGAAATATTGTCGAGCAGCAGCAGCAGGAGACGAGTCGACAGACGTCAACGCCAGCTCATGTATCTCATGCGGCCACCAAAATGTCGAACTGCCAACCAAGTAGAAGCAGCAAAGCAGCTAACCAAAAGGCAAAAATAAGAAAAGGAAAAAAAAGTAAGACAAACAACCGGAAAAGGTAGACTGGGCATAGCACGCAGCTGGAATACACTTCGAGTGAAATATATCACTGGAAGCCGAAAGTTTAGAGCATATAATAATAACAGAAAGAAAGCGCAGAACATGGAGAGAAAGAGTCAGGGTTATCTTGGTACAGCTTGTACCTTCTTAGAATCTTTTCTAGAAAAACTTTAGACTAGGAAATCTTGCATATTCAAATTAATGGTATCTAGCATAGCTTTCAATA